TTTTTTTTTAACGTTTATTTATTTTTGAGAGACAGAGAGAGAGCGGGGGAGGGGCAGAGGGAGAGGAAGACAGAATCTGAGTCAGGCTCCAGGTTCTGAGCTGTCAGCACAGAGGCCGACGCCGGGCTCAAACCCACAGCTCTGAGATCATGACCTGAGCCAAAGTCAGACACTAAACCGATGAGTCACTCAGGCGCCCCCTAGATTTTAAACTTCTGACCCCTGCAACTCTAACAGAATGAACTTGTATTGTTTTCAGCCACCAAAAAGTTACACAGTGGGTATCTGGAACAGTGGCTTGTAAGAAGTACCAAACCTGACAGGTAGCATCAGTACTCATTTCCATGATAATGAACTACAGAGAGAGCAACCACAGGTCCCCCATCTGCTCACACCTATATGTCAGTGTGATGATTAGTATCTGGGCCTGTTTCCTCTCAAGCGTCCCAGAGTGGATCATCAATTAGCTTGATTGCAAACATCACTTGGAATGTACATTTGCCTAGACAGGTCAAAAGTGGAGAGAATTTTCATTTAGCTCCAAAAGCAACTTGATCCTTAACATTCTGATTTCAGATGCAAGAGAATTTGAGGCACATTAAATATAAAAAAATTATTTTCAGTGTTTTGTGGTCGACTTTTTGTCAAAACAATAAAAACCATCATTATTAGTGATTGTATTTAATTTCTAACATTTATAGAGAACTGTTAGAAATACCCAGAGGCCATGATTATCATGTTCCTGCTGTTTTTCTAAATACTGAATTTCAGAACCAATAATTAAAGGATTTCTAAGAACTGGCTTTGGCCAGAACAGTAAACAATCATCCTTCCAGAACACCAACGAACACATTTCAGAATTAACAAGGACTATGTGACCTCTCCCCAAAAAGATACATTTTTTTCACTAGCACATTCAACAATGCCTTCTGGCAGTGTAAAAAAAAGCTTGACAAATTCTAATTTCAATTTTTCCTTGAAAACTGAAAAATACTTTTGTCTCTTTTATTCTTTAAGTACACAGAGGGCTAATTTAGAGATTAATTAGCTGTATATTTCTTAAAATTCTAAATTATTCATGTTATCCTAACTGCTCTTATTTATAATAACTGAAATGTAGAAAGACATTCTCCCTACAAAAAAAGTTATGTGAGGCAAACGTGTTAAGAAGCAATCACACTGGGGCGCCTGGGTGGCGCAGTCGGTTGGGCGTCCGACTTCAGCCAGGTCACGATCTCGCGGTCCCTGAGTTCGAGCCCCGCGTCGGGCTCTGGGCTGATGGCTCAGAGCCTGGAGCCTGTTTCCGATTCTGTGTCTCCCTCTCTCTCTGCCCCTCCCCCGTTCATGCTCTGTCTCTCTCTGTCCGAAAAATAAATAAACGTTGAAAAAAAAAAAAAAGCAATCACACTGTGGTAATCATTTCACAATTCACATGTATTAAATCATCATGTCGTACACCTTAAACTTACATGTTATATGTCAACTGCGTCTCCGTAAAGCTGGGAAGGGGCAGACAAAAACTGCTGCTTGTTTTGGTAAAACTGTTATTTTTACTGGATAAACTATGCAATATATTTTAATTATCTTAAGCGCGGTGTAGTGATGACTGTGATTTTTTTGAGAGGCCAAAACACTCCTAAAAAGACCATCAATCTTTGACTTGTTGATGGTTCCTAGCAAAGAAAATTACCTATTCTCGATTAAGAAAAAACTTGTTTTCTGACGCGAACATAACTTTTAACTGAAAATGTAATTCACTACTTTAAAATACTTACCGTGTTTCTTTCTTGGTTCAAAAACCAGCCCCAGTAGAGGGAGGCCGAGGGATGAGAGAAGTGGGCCAAGCCACGTTGGTAGGTGAGGGGATGTGCTCTTGGGGTGGTCAGCACCCGTCACAATACCAGGGCGTCTCCACACCAAGGTGCGGAGACGTTGTAAAGAAGGCTTGTTTATAAAGAGGCCTTAATTAGGTTCAGATGCTCTCTACAACACCTGTCCCTCAAGGCGGTGTTCTTGAAAGGACGGCCACTACAGGAACAGTACGCAGGGACGAATGTTCCAAGGAAAGGGGAGGGGTTGTGGAGCCTCCCGCTGCTGGGTCTGGTTAGCAGGTGAACCAGCAGTCACATCCTCTCAGGGACCTCCTCCAACATCCTTCTGAAAATGCAACCTACTTCCTTTTTTATTCTTTTAATGTTTATTTGTTTTTGAGAGTGAGAAAGAGACAAAGCATGAGTGGGGGAGGAGCAGAGAGAGAGGGAGACACAGAATTGGAGGCAGGCTCTAGGCTCTGAGCTGTCAGCACAGAGCCCGATGTGGGGCTCGAACTCATGAACTAAGAGATCATGACCCGAGCGAAGTCAGACACTCAACTGACTGAGCCACCCGGTGCCCAAAAATGCAACCTACTTATCTTTACTTATTTAAAGTGCAAATTTATTTAAGTAAGTCGAACACTTATCTTTACACATTTATCTGTACACATCTCAAAAAATTAAATTGACTTCTGATACACAAATGCTGCCTAAAATGAACATCACGCACAATGTTTGAAATATTAATTTTATTAGGAAACCATTTGATAGTTGTATTATATCATTTAATCATTAATTTTAATGTGGCCTGAGGACATCAATTAAAATTTGGATTTTTCAACCATTCAATAAACATGTGAGCATCTCCAAGTGCTAGGGAATGGAGATGCAGGCTAAACAGGAGATCCTTGCTCTCAGGGAGCTTACAGTCTAGCAGGAAGGCAATATTAAAGAAATATTTACGTTTCTCATAAATACCTAAGACAGAGAAAATGGTTGGTGCTTTTCAAGAGCAGATAGTGTCTAACCCAGCCCAGAGAAGTCACGGAGACAAAAGGTAAGTGCTTCAGAGAAAGTACAGGCAGAGGGAACATTAGGTGGTGGACCCTAAAGTGGGAAGGACTGTGTAGGTTCGAGGAGCTAGAAGTCTAGAACAGATGGAGCACCGTGTGTGGGAAAGAGTCAAGGAGATGAGACAGAAGAGGGGATGTGATGGTCACGATCATGGAGGGCATGAGGGGTCTAGTACTTCTACAGGGAACCTGTGAGACACTGAAGCAAGGGAGCAGCATGACCAGGTGTGCACTTAGAATGGTCATCCTACCTCACAGGGATGGAGATGCAAGACTAGCTAAGACTAGAAGCAGGTAGACCACTTCTAAGGCCTTTGGAAGTGAAAGACAAAGATAATGGGGAATTTAAGAGATAGTGAGGAGGCAAAATCAATTGACCCTGGTGCCTGAATCTGAGGTTCCTAAAAGACCACCAGTGCAGACATCCAGTAGACCCCTAAGATACACAGGTCTAGAGCTCAGGGAGAACAATGTCGACACAGGAATCATCTGCATTTAGATGGCTTCTGAAGCCATAAGAAGGGCTGATATGACCAAGAGAGAATAAACCTAACCGTGAGTAACATACACATTCAAGAATGAGCAGGGGGGCCTGGGTGGCTCAGTTGGTTGAGCGTCCGACTTCGGCTCAGGTCATGATCTCACAGCTCGGGAGTTCGAGCCCCACTTCAGGCTCTGTGCTGACAGCTCAGAGTCTGGAGCCTGCTTCGGATTCTGTCTCCCTCTCTCTCTGCCCCTCCCCTACTCGAGTGCTGTCTCTCAAAAATAAATAAAAACATTAAAAAACTAAAAAAAAAGAATGAGCAGAGTGCCAGAGGAGGGGAGCGAGGGCATGGGGAATTACTATTTAATAACAGAGTTCTGTTTGGAATGATGAAAAGTTCTGGAGATGGATGGATGGTGGTGATGGTAGCACAACCATGTGAATGGACTTAAGGCCACAGAACTGTACACCTAAAAGTGGTTAAAACGCTACATTTTATGTTCTGTGTATTTCACCACAATTTTTTAAAAAAGAACAAGGGGATACTTTCATGTTTTGCTAATGAAAAATCAGGACAAATAGTAAAGGGAGTAGGAGAGAAATCACTAGAGGAACAGGGGCAGGGCAAGGGAGACAGAACAAGAAGGGCCAAAGAGGTTGGCAGAAAACCTAAAGTTTCGATCTAGAAGCTAAGGCCAGCACTGCAGGGAGGAAGTGTTCAAGTGCACTGAATGCTTCAGAGAATTCAGTCAGATAAAGTCAGAAAAGAACCCACTGGTTTCAGCAACATGGAGGTAAACCTTGGAGAGGGTATTGGCAGGGGAAGGCAATGAGGAGAAGGATGGAGAGAGAATGGGTAGAAAAGAGAGCCCCAAATGCAGACAACAAGTGTGACTATTAAGGGAAGGAGTACTGGCTAAAAAGACGAGTAATTGATGCTTTTAAAAATTGTGTGTGTTAAAATATCATCATGTGTAATCAGCAAAACAATCATTTCAGAGGAAAAATGACTTTCTGTTAATAATCTCAAACATACCTGCAGTGAATAGGTTATGGGACTTTCATGCTACTTGTGGGTTAGAAAGGATAACTTAAGTTATTCTCTTCAGTTTATGGGTGGTAAAGCTGAGCCACAGAAAAGTTTCTCAAAGAAAACAGACAAGGAATTGAAGTTTATCAAATAAATATCTTCACTGATTTCTGTTTAATGTAGAAAAGTACGATGCACTGTGTTAAGAAAACAATTTTACCATAATAGCCACATGTTGGAAAAGTCTAAAATTTTAAGGCTACTGGTATGTCAATTTTGGTACATATCCAATGGAAGATGCTTCACACTCCAGTTACATCCTCAAGATGCTGAAGTCAGTCTTCTGGATTGGTGCATTGAGGGCTGCACTAATACTGAGACCCAGGACCAGTCTGGTGTCCACGGGATCAATAATCCCATCATCCCACAGCCTGATAAAAGAACAAAGCAAAAGTTATTAGGAATCTACCACCAAACTACCATTTATATAATTTATGCCCAGAAATGCTGAGGTTTTTCTTCAGGTACCATGGGGATCTACCAATGAGTTTCTGGGTACTACATTCTCACAACTGAAACTACATTCTTCCCAAAGAAAAATGACAGGACTTTGATCCTAGGCCCTCAAAGAATGTCAGAGTGAGCTATGGTTTTGGGAACTGCTTCCAGAAACCACAAAATAATCCTTGATTTTCAAATACTTTTACTTATTTTAGGAAAATGTTTCCTGTTCTTCTGCCCACATAAATATACAAGTTGATGTGTTCCTGTTATTAATATGGAGAGACACATGAACCCAGGTAATGATCTCAAACCAAAGTCTCTACTGGAAAAGGTGTACTCCCCCAAATTCCCAAACTTTTAAGAAACTATAAAAACGACTGAATAGACTTCACTATTTTATTAAAGTATCTGCAATGTAAGTTCTTTGTCTTTTGCTACAATAGGAAAGTAAGTAATAGCTTTAAGCTGCTTTCAAAAGAAACTCTGAAGTACAAATCTGATTTTCACTGACAACCTCAGTTTTACAAAAAAGATGAATGAGAAATACTGTTTTTTAAAGGTCATTAGTAGGTGGCTGTTTGGCTTTCTTTAAACAAACTGCTTTCAGTATCTAGACAATAGCATTAATTATTAAACCATACTTAGATCGACACACCATGAATCAAATCTTTGCTCATAAAACATTCATAATGGGGACCCTGAAGTAGCAAGAGCCAGTAGGAAGAGGCCACTCCTGTCATGTGTAACCAGGTCAGTTGATTACACCCCCTTCTGACGCCAACAGCAGAATAACGCAGCAAGCACAGCGAAGCCAGGCCTGCTTCGTGATGGTCATTAACAAGAGTGCTCCAGGTAAAAGGCCCTAATCAAATGCCTGAAAAAGTTTTGATTATAAAAAGAATTGAGCAGAAGAAACTGGCATGCTGCACACGTAACAATGAAGGACTGAGAGAAACACAGAACGTCATTATCCGTGGTAGCAGATAATGAAAGAGGTCTCTGAAAAGGCAGAGCCAACCATGGTAGAGCCAAAACAGACCGCACAAGTTTACTGGTAGGCTGAGATTCATGAAATCCAAGGAAGGTGCCATGAACTGGCTTGAAAATCCTTTCATCTTGTAAAGAAAACTGCTGACTCCACGCCACCAAGTGTTTTAGCAGAAAGGCCTAAGCATCTATGAATTAACAACAACAAAAAAAAAACACCTTAGTGTTTTTTGATATTTGTTTCCAAAGATAAATACATCTGGGCCATTTGCTCCCCTACCCTGAATACAGCCTATTAAAATAATAATACTAATGTAAGTATGAAAACAATAAACGATTCAGTCTTTCTCAAGAGATGACTTAGCCAGGGCTGAAAAACAAATGAATGGCTCACACGAGATACGTTATTTTTCAAAGTTTAATATTTCAACTGTCCTTGTGCATTTCACTCAAAATTTGATGTAGAAACAAAAACAAACAAGAAACTGTATGTGAGCCAAATGCACCAAGAAGCATAAAATACCTAGGAATAAACCTAACCAAAGATGTAAAAGATCTGTATGCTGAACACTATAGAAAGCTTATGCAGGAAATTGAAGAAGATATAAAGAAATGGAAAAACATTTTGTGCTCATGGGTTGGAAGAATAAATATTGTCAAAATGTCAATACTACCCAAAGCTATCTACACATTCAATGCAATCCCAATCAAAATTGCACTAGCATTCTTCTCGAAGCTAGAACAAGCAATCCTAAAATTCATATGGAACCACAAAAGGCCCCGAACAGCCAAAGTAATTTTGAAGAAGACCAAAGCAGGAGGCATCACAATCCCAGACTTTGGCCTCTATTACAAAGCTGTCATCATCAAGACAGCATGGTATTGGCACAAAAACAGACACATAGACCAATGGAATAGAATAGAAACTCCAGAACTAGACCCACAAAAGTATGGCCAACTCATCTTTGACAAAGCAGGAAAGAATATCCAATGGAAAAAAGACAGTCTCTAACAAATGGTGCTGGGAGAACTGGACAGCAACATGCAGAAGGTTGAAACTAGACCACTTTCTCACACCATTCACAAAAATA